AGAAATCCTGGTTCCTTCTCCGTGGTGCTTCCTGCTCTCAGCCATCAGATGCTCTGCTATTCTTTGTGTTGGCAGGCAGCCTGCAGTCTTCACCAGTAGTGTATTGTTGTGCCATGCTGTGGAAACAGAGGCTCTCTCCCAGAAATTAAATAAGCCTTTTTCTTTTTTGCCACCCCTGGAGAAGCAAGTGACATTTAAAAGGCCTGATGTTAGTCCAGAGACAAGAGGACATTCATCAGGGGAAGAGCCATGGCCTTCAAAATGCAGACATCTACCTCTTCACCCTGCTGAGGGGGGCTCAGTGCTCCGTGGCCTGTGAGTGTAAATTTCCAGTCCCTCCCCTGTTTCTCTGGCATACAATTAACTTTGCATATATATAATTTATCTGTTTCATTTTTGTGTTTCCAAGTTTTCTCATTGATAACTTAGTTCCATGCATGCTCCTTAGCTCTGACTGCATCCTGTGGCTGAGGGTACAGAGTTATACAAGAGCTGCTGTGTAATGCAAACATCAGCCCACACCACAGGGAGGTATTTGTGACTGTACTTGCCAGTGACAGGTAGAACCAGCTCAGCTTCCACTTTGTGTTTCTCAAGGCAGAACTGAATTTGTGGAGCATTGGCCATTTGTCATAGGAGCAGTTATACAGAGAAACACTGAAAGATACCTTTGATGGGACTTCAGCCATTGGGAGAGCTTATCTTGCCCAAGTGGCCCAGTGTCACTGGAGCTCTTGTTTTTTGCACTGAAGTCACCTGATGAAATGATAAATATCAAGATCCTGGTGTACAGAAGCTGAAGTTCCTTCTTGCCCCTTTCTTTTCCCTGGGGAAGCTATTCCTTCAAAAATTCCTGTTGATTATGGGGCAGTTGCAAGGAAGAATTGTCTATGAATCTTCTCAGTGCAGGACAGGAACCCTGCAGGGAAATGAGATTGTAACTTCACATTGCTGTAAGCAAGTATATCTGCCAAAAAAAGAGCTTCTGCCCTGTTCAGTTGTGTCACTTCCACCATTCTTGGTGTTGGCCCCACCACTCACATGGTGAACTAGATTCTCACATTAATACAGGTTGATATTTAATCTTTAAGAATCAGAATTGCATGCAAGGAGAATGTTGCAGAGCAGGGATGAATAATGAAACAGGACTGTTTCTTTAGCTGCATCCAGCTGATGCCAGTTTACAATAATCATAAGTCTGGGGCATTCTTTGTTCTGGATTTCTTTTCAGAAATGCCATTCAACGAGCCAGGTTGCCACCCCGGAAGCCTGACTTCCCTCTGGAATCTCTAGAAAGCAAGGAACTGCTGGGACCTCCTTTTACTAGGTAGAAAATCTAATTTTAGAAGTAAAGAAAAGAGGGTGACTTACAGGGGGCATAGTAGAGCAGCTAATTGGAGAGCTGTATGCAAGGGAATGACAGGAGTCTCCCCTTTTTTGCACTGACCCCAAAGGACAAGACCAACAGGTTGCAGTGTATAGTGACCTTATCTTTCTTCCTGTACAGGTCAGAGGTGCCCTTTCAGCAAACATCTGTGAATAAATGTCCTGCACAGACTGGGAACTTAATGCTGACACCTCACATGGAAGAAAGTACCTGTAAATGTCTGTCTCAGATGGACAGTGCTGCTCATCCCCATCCCTCTCTCACTTGTGCTTCTCTCCCCCCATGGACACAGGACATGCACAGAGCTGGGCAGGGGCCAGAGCTGTGCTCTCCTGCATCTTTCATGTCCCACATGAGAGCTGGCTCAGAAGAGGTGAGTGAACTGCTGAAGGAACAGTTAGTGTGTGTACTGGGCTGCTGCCAGCAGGCCCATTGCTCACTGCTGTGTTTACTTGTGTTTCTTTTGAGCTGCCCTGGTTGAGCTGGTTTTCACTTATTCTAGCTGTGATCTTTAAAGCTGACCAAGGGAACTGCCTCTGAATGCCCAAGAACTGTTTGCCCCTAGTCTGAAGCAATCCACATGTGGGGTTCTGTATTTCATGCCTTTTCCTGGCCAGATCTTTTCCTAGCAAGTGATGTGAGGGTGCTGCTGCCTCTTGGGAGTTCAGAGAAGTTACAGTTTGTTGTCCAGATTGCAGAGATTTAAGAGAAACTCAGCTTAGGAGCAGTAGGTGTGTCTGAGAGCTTCAAAAAATTGAAGTTCACTTAACCTGCAAGTAGGTGCTTGCTTTTTGAACTCCTTGTTCCACACAGAATGGGAAGTTTTAATCTTGGTGAAATATCTCCATATAAAATATCTTCTAGAAATCAGAGTCCATCTTTAAGCTCTCCTTCTTCTGTGGGATTTGATGAGAGGGGCTCAGCACCTACAGGAGTTGTCTGAGTGGGAGTAGGACTGAGTAGGTCAAGCACATCCCACTTGTAGGGTTTACTTAAGAAAACCCTTTGAGGAAAACCCCAATATCATTCTGATCTTCCAGAGAGGAAGGCAGCCTGCCAATGGTCACAAAGGAGCCCATTCCCAAGACTCTCAACAGAATTCTGTGGAGAAGAAGTTGCCACCAAATTTGCAGCCACATTTGCTGTCATCTGAAGGCTTGGTGGGAAAAGGGAATCACCAGACTGCAGGTACATCCTCAGATCCAAACAGTAGCAATTGCTCATGCTCCTCTCTGATCTATGTGAGACTGCAAGTGTGACACAAAATGTGTGGGAGACAGGGCAACCTTGTGTGCCAGCATCAGGAGGTCAAGGGTACCAGTACTCCTTTCTGGGAAGGGAACTGCAGTTGTGTGGATTCTGCTAAAGCCCTGCTCTGGGCATTGAAGGATGGGAGCTGCTTGAACATTCTTTCAGCCAGAATGTGCTGAGGTGCTGGGGTGTTCACCTGCACAGCAGAACTTGTTCAGGAGGGAAGTTCATCCTGTAGAGCTCTCTGAGGTTTCCCTGTACTTACAGCATGGCTGTAAAGGGGACAGATGGTGTCTAAGCACCTCCCCTTGTGGTGTTTTAAATGACATCAGAGCATGACATTTGTTCAGCAGGACTACTGCACTTAATTACTTCTAGACTAAATTCTGAACAGGCCAAAACAGTATCTGTAGTACTGAGCCATCCACCAGAGCATTTTGTATCTTTCATGTGTTCAGACTGAGTCTTCAGGAACTTGTTCTGTTGTCAGAACTCCTGCCCTCTCACTGTACCTGATCCTTTGAGGTGAACAGGTGCATGTCACAGGGCAACCAAACACAGTTGGGAGGGTTCCTTTTTCCTGTCATTAAAAATATTTTCTGTTTTTTTAATATGAAGAAAGAGTGGATGTCTGTTCTACTTCCATTGCTTGTGCCTTATATCTTCCATTCAGCTGAAGGGAAAAAGAGGGAGCACAGTTCCAGAGAAGAAATGATGTTGGAGAGAAAGGTGGAAGTTGAACTCTGGCATATCCAGCAGCAGATGCAGTACTACTACAGCAGGAAGCAGGAACTCAAGTAATGCCCCTTTAGCCAGCCTTTCTTCATGCTGTCAACTCTGTTGCATTTTTTCTATGTATCTACCCTAGAAATAACTAGTCTGTTCACAGTAGAGCTGTGAATGAAACAGAGAAAACTTCCAGATTTTTATTTTCTCCTTTGGAGTTCACTCCAGGTGAAGGAGAGTTTGTGCATAACTACTTCTGTAGTCAGCCAAGAGGTTTAATTATACCTTTGGCAGCTCTTGCAGAAGCATGTCAGAGGTATCACTGGGTGTAATCAGGAGATAGTACAAATGAATAGGGCAGGGCAGTTGAAATTTAGCTTTTATCAAGAGGACTGAGCTTTTGCAGCTTTTAATTAAAAAAAAATTAAATATGGCTGGTATTTGATAACTGCTATACTAGAACAAGAAAACAGAAATGCTCAAGAGAAATGGGGCTTGGGGGGGATTTAACTGCCAGGAAAAGAAGAAGTCAGGGGCTAGAAGCAGAAGGTGGAGATGACAGTTTTCAGATTCCTCTGCTTTCCAGCGTCTTTTGGTGGTTTTTTGGTTTTTTTTACCTTTTAAAAAAGATTTTAACCATTGACTGGTTTGAGACAAAAATATGGGTCTCATTGCAAGTATCAATTGCAAGTCTAAGTTGGCTTAGACTGTTGAGCTCTTAATTTGGATAAGAATCCTTCTAATCCATTTTATCAGGTGGTGTCAGCAGCAGGCACAGATTCTGCAGCAGTGGCTGGAAATGAGCACGCAACCAGGAGCCCAAGATGGTGTGCAAGGAGTTCAGGAAGAATTGGGTCAGGTGTGTACACAGCATTTAAACTGAAGCTACTGAAGTGATTAGCACTGTGCCTAAAGGCTGATGGTAGCTGTGAGGAATTGTGTAGTAAGCCATTAGTAAAATGCCAAAGGAAATTTGTAGTCAGAAGTAGGCTGAGGAGCAGAAGAGGCTGTGTGGATGCCTCTTCCTGTTTGTTCAGAAATGTAACTCCTGCTCCAGCAGACCTTTCTGAGGCTATTTCCAAGCTATGGATCAAGCTTTCATAGACTCAATCTCAAAATTTTTTCTGCAATTTCTCAAGACAACTCCCTGTGTGCAAACTGGCCCTGCCTTCAGGCCCCAGGTTCACAGAGCCAGGTGTGGGTACTGGTACCTCTGAGCTGTTCCTCAGTGACACAATCTGCCACGTGCTGGCCCTCAAGTGAGACAACACAAAAGCTGCTGGGGCATCTCTTGCTGTCCAAAAGACTACATATTGTCTGACTGTACAAACTTATGTTGATGCTGATGCACTTGTGTTCCTTGCAGTTGCAGGTGAGGATCAGCACTCTCACCAAAGCACAGCTGGCTGAGAGACAGCACGTGCAGGCCCTGCTTGCCCGCCTGCGAGACATCCAGCTGGCCCTGGACCTGTAGGGTCTACCCACTGCCCAACTCAGGGGTAGGACTTTTTGCCCCTTTCATAGCAGGGGGCAATGGAAGAGATGTATCCATTCTCTTGGTTCTATGTATGGAACTTATATTTGATAAATTAAGTGAAAATAATTTGGCTTTTTTTATTGTTACTGTAGTGGAGCTATTGTTACAAACTGGAGCTACACCTACCTCATGCTGCACTTGCAGTACCTAGTTTAGGTTACCTGTCATGCCACAAAGATAAGCAACACAGATAAGACTCTTTATTTCAAAATGTTTGCAATTAAATGAGTTCATGTCAGTAAGTCATACACTTTGACATACAAAAATACCGTGCTACTGATACAGTTGAATTAAATGGATTCTCCATGCAGGAGAAATTCACAGCATTATCAGTACCCTCGAGGAACTTTTTCACTCCTGGGGTGCATTGCTGGCCCCTGCATCACAAGCAATGTTGGTTGATTAGCTCGCTCTGCACAGTATTACAACCATCATAAACAGCCACTTGCATGCTGAATCCTCTCTTCCTTCTGAGATTTCTAATAAAGCAAACATCAAGCAACCCATCCTCCATCACTAGGCTAATCTGTACCTTCAGATACTATGGATGATGCTGCTGAGTAGGAAGAAATTAAAGCTTAAACTTCCTTTGGCTCTGTCTGGATGTCATAGACCCCAGTGGAAAAGAAGGAAAAGATTCAGTTGTCTTTTTCTCTCATCCACTGGAACAAATTTGCTTTCTCTTGTTAACATGACACTGAAGTTTAATCAAAAAGCTCACCCAAACTTTATCCTCTCAGAGCTGATATTTGCCTTACTCTTTTCTCACTCTCAAAGGCTTAAAAAGACTTGTATCTGGTACTATACTGCTGCAGGAGTAAACTTGCTAATACCAAGAACTTTAACAAGATAGGTGGCTGAGAGCCACTTCAAGCTTTCAAACTCCTCCCTGTGTGAGGAAACACTGACTCCTGGAGCCAAATGAATTTTCTCCTGCTTGTCACCCAAACAGCCACCCTCATCTGACTCATGCCTGGCTGCATCACTTAGAGGCAGTTTATCATCCCTTCCTTCCTGATGACAAGCTAAGCATACAGGACTTGGCAAACTGGACATTTGTACAACAAAATTATATTCTATTTTCTGCAGTGCATACAAAGAAGGGTTTCTTTAGGAGATCAGAGCCTGTCATCTCCTTGAAGTAGCAGAAAAGTAGCTCAAGCAAGGAAGTAGTAGGAGAAATCTTTCAGAAAGCACAAAGGCAGGTTTCATAAGCGTGTCCACTCCAACAAGCTCTGGATAGCAAAATCATGTTTGAGTGCTGGGACTTGAAACAGTTTATTCTCAAAAAACAATTTATACATTGCTTTAAAACTCAATTCCTCTTCACTTTGGCAGTGGTTTTTGTCAGTGCCACATGCAGTAGATCCAAAGAGTGAGATTTTAACTCTTCTTGCTGTGAAGTTGCAGAAGCTTTAAAATTTTACAGTGGATTAAGCTTCAGCACAAAGATTTTAGCCCCCAGCACATTCCTAGCATTAAGTATGAGGGTACAAGTCAGAGCCAGTGTGGTTTTTTGTTTTGTATTTTGAATAAGATGAAGTTGTTGCCCAGTCAAGGGAGGGCCAGATTGGCACCTGGGAAGCAACACGGGATTTCTTTAAAAAGCCATAAATATTTTAAACACAGTCAGTGCATAGGGCATTTCACTCTGTACAATAAAAATTGGTCCTGAAGTAGCTGAAGCTGTCCTTTAACAGAGGAACTAATTCTTCAAGAATTTAGTGACAAAGTAACAAGATACATAGCAGAAAGGAAAAGCACACTTTAGTTGCCATCACATCACCCAGCAAAAATATGCCCTGTGTCTTCTAACTCCTTAATCCAAGAGATGAAGTTAACTGTCTTTCATAAAGACAAAAACTTTAAGGCCTGGAATAGCAAAATAAAACCATGGATTAGGAAGAGGACACAGAGCTTTGTCTGTCTTTAAAAAAGAAAAGAAAATCGCAAGATGACAAGTTCTGTTGTCTGGAATGTAGACACTGTTTTCAGGTTTAAAATACACTGCAAAGCCCATTTTTAAAGCAGCAATGTCAGACAAAAGAATTAAAGTTTTTTAACAGTACAAAACTCAGGATGAGGGATGAGTGTCACTCATTGTACTGACTGACTGTTGTACATTTTGCTTTGTTTGGGCCACGAAGCCACACCAGCAAATTTCACTGTTTGGCCATCTGTCTCATTCAGAGACTGCTTTTATCTAGTAATTTGGGTGGAGTTTCTTAGAATAAAATAAATATGAGAATATATTCTTTACTCAAGGTCTGTAAATCAGATTCTGTAGATACAAGGTACAAGGTCTGACTCAGCCTGTCAGTGTCCCTTTAACTACAGGTAATCTCTGCCTCCACCCTTTCCTACTGCACCTGCCTAGGAAGGCTTAAAAGGGACTTAGAGGCTCTAAGAACATAATTATCCTGTGGCACATTCAGGGCAGAACATGAAAGACTACAGGCACAGGGTGGGCCTGAAACCACCATGGGCAACATCTTTAAAGGCAGCTGTACCCAATACATCCATGATCATTCAATTCAGTTTCTACATTCAGCAGCAGGTAAATGTAGACCAAATATTTTCAAGTTTAATGCAGCAGTGACATCTTTCTTCCTCCTCACCCAGGTCCTGCTGAGTGATACAAACTTGATAAGTGAAACACTCAGTGGTGTGAAAAAAGTCCCTTTTTATAGAAAATCTTGCTGAGACAGTTCCTATAGAGAGCCCAGTGCTTCTCCAAAGCGGATTTTCTGTCCAGCCTTGAGGTTGAATCTGAAGTCCTTGGGTGCCTCAAAGATTAGTACAATTGTAGAGCCTAAGTTAAATTCCCCTAAATGTTCCCCTTTCCTCATGGGGATTCCCTCCTTGTTGTTGTTGGATATGAAGCTGAAGTCATTGTAGGAACCTTTAGAGTAACTTGGACTGTTCGTGTGCAAGTCCTGTACAGAGAAGGAAGAAGAGAAGGATTTCAGTGCTCTGTATTCCTTCATCACCACAGCTGTGGACTGTACACACTCACACATTTTCCATGCACAAACTCACAGTTCAAAGGTGCAATAGGAATATTTTTTAAATTGTCTATATTGGAGACAACACTGTTTAAATCAGTCTTAGAATATCAGTACTGTGAAACACCCTAATTTCAGGGTGATAATTTTTCTTTTTAAATTTTGTTATGCTGCATCAACCTCAGCCATTAACAGAAAGGTGCCTGCTATGATCCTGCTCACCTGGTCAAAGTAGATGCGGATGGAGCCCACGTTTGTTGCTCCTACAGCTGTTAGTGAGAAGAAGCCATGTTTCCAGTCACCTGTAAGAACAACCCGTTCATTGTGGCAGAACAGCTCCTTGATCCAGCGAGCAACTCCAGGATTGACAGACATCAGAGAGCCTGAAGAAATGAGAAAATATGCAGGTTAGGTTGTCTGGTTTGTAGTGATATTGTAATGCTGCTCAGATGGTGTTTTCAGTGTAACTGGAGCTGATCCAGTAAACAGCTCTGTCAGTTACTTGTAGGAAGAGAGGCAAGTGCCAGGCAGAGCAAATGAAAGAGAAGTCTGTGCTGAAAACAAAGGGGTCACAGAAGGATGTGTGTGGTGGGTCAGTTCTCTCTCTCATGGTGTTTGAAACCAAATCCAAATACTTATGATTTTGCTAGATACCAAGAAGTAAAATATTCTTATCTGCAAGAACATCTGATCCCAGCTCCAGTAGTGCAACTGTTCAGTTGCATTTTCTTTGCCTAGCACAAGCAGAGATTATACTTTAGGCTACTTTAGATGTGATCCACAGAACTATCTATATTTCAGGTGCAAACTGAATAAGCAGTGTTTGGGAACAAATCAGCTCAGCTTGAATCAAGGGGTACTTCAAACAAACAGTTTGAATACAATATTACTGTTTTCACCATTTTTATGTGATTTGCTCTGGTAAACTCTACAGCTGCAAAACTCATTACTGTTTGAGACAAATCACTTTCCTACCATTGTCTATCGTGTTACTGTCCAACTTCTGCACTGGTGTGTCTCATTGTGCAGAGGCCCATAGCAGTGCTTCCCTCCATGGCTGCTCTGCAGCTGTTTCCTAGGAACAGAAACCAACCTGGGAAGTGCCGTCGGTGTGACACCGTCCAGTCCGTGGGTGAGTGGAAGCAGTGATAATCCCCTGGTGCAAGGTAAATTACACAGTGGTACAGCTCATTCCCCTCCTTTGTGACCAGTTGTTTCTGAAAAGAGTTACCAGGTGGGGCTGCAGAAGAAGCAGGGAAAGGAAGGGGTTAAAGATATTCCTCCTGAAGTCATCTACCTTAGCCAGGCAGTCTGTGTTAGACTGTGCAATAGCAGAGGATTAAATGCAGCTCATGTGGATTGGTGAGACTACAAAAACATAGGTTTCATGCAGAAATCCAATATTTCCAAATGCTCCTTTCTAAGAAAATTAGATCCTGGATTGTTTCAATGACAGTGAAAAATTTCCTTTTGGAGTTTGCCCTTCCCTAAGCAAAACAGCAGAAACTGAAATCCAGTACAACAGAATTTTTACTAAAGCTGTCCTTTAAGAACAGAATTTGTGAAGAGTCCTCTCAGTCATTAGAGGGGTAGTGCTTGAGCATGGATCTTGTTAAGAATTTTTGCTAGCCAGTGCTTGGGGCCATTTCAGTGTGACTGCAGGAGTGCTGCAGCTATGGTGTAGCAACAGATCTTGAAGTCAAGTGTAGGAACCAAGCACCAAGCAACTCAGTTCAGATAATGAGAATGAGCCAGGCATGACTGCATAAAGCCACTGGTGAGAAAGAACTAGAACAGTGACATGGTTACCCACAAATAAAACAAACCAAAAATCAGACCTGCTTTTGTTCCTGACAGTGCAAGAAAATGTTACATTTTGTCATCTCTCTTATGATTTCTGAGAACACTGAAAGGGCACAGCAGAATAAATGCAGAACTGGCACAGAACTTACCCTGGCTAAAATGCATTTCCTCTGTGGAGATGCGAGGTCCTAAGAAAGATTCCAGAGAATAAGTAACCCCTTTTACTTGCTCCACTTCACAATTTTTTACCTGTCCGAAATTAAGGATCTTTCCATCAGAGGGACTAATCTACAGCAAAGAGAAAAAAGGGAACCAGTCAGCAGTTCATTAAGTCCTCATGCAGCAGTGCCATTCCTCTGGGGGCTGAGGGAAGTGGCAGTGCAGGGTGCAGCCCTCCCTCCCTTTCACTCACCACGCTGTGCACGCAGCACACCGGCCGCGCCTGCGGTTTCAGCTTCCTGCGGAAGAACTCGCTGAGGTTCCTGTAGTGGTGCAGATCCTCCACAGCTGCCTCCTTCATGTTCACCCCGAAGGTCCAGATGTACAGGCTGTACACCGGCTTCCTCAGCCACGTGGGCAGCTCCACCTGGTTCAGGCGGCCCCAGGCTCGCGAGAGAAGCCGTGTGGGGACTGACTTGTACAGGGCAACCTGAGGGGACAATGGCAGCAGGTCAGTGCTCTGCCCACTGATGGCTTCCTTATTTCCCCCCATAACACAGGAAGGATCAATCTGTTCCTGCAAACCCCTCCCTTGAATTCATGTAGCTTTTAAGGCAGCAAAAGATTCATACTGCACTTCATCGTCATTCCCTCCATTCTGGTGAGATCAGACAAGAGACAGGATGAAACTTTATATAACTTTAAAGTGAAGCCAGAATTTCCACTCCTTTGCAGGCTGAAGCTCCACACTGAAGTTACTGCAAACTGCCCAATGTGAGGCTTACAGAAAAAAAGAGACATTGCACATATTCTAGTAGAACACTAATCAGAAAGGCTTAACATTACCAGTGTATAAATTTTTGTGAATAACTAAATGAAAATTGACTGGAAAATAATTGACTTCTCAGTGTTGGACGACATACTCCTCAGATGCAGCTGCTACTGAGGGTGCTTCCCACACCCAGTACTGTATGTTGTATGCTCTAATGAGTATACAAGTACCATCAAAGAAATGTACCCACTGGATGCAGCTACACAGGTATAAACTTATACCAGCCTTATTCCTTCTCTCACAACAATGGGAGCTACTAATTGCAAGAATATTAAGTGCCTTTATTTCCGTAGAAATACACCTCTGGACTTGCACCAAAAGCCAAGTTTTAGCAAGGAAAACAAATGAAACAAAGTTGGCAAGAGGTATCTGCTGTTGATGGAAGTGGAGAGATGACAACATCTTTCTGTTGATAATTCCAGCAGACAGCTCTTCTGGGGTTTGTGGTGCTTGCTGTCAGCCAGGAAGCTCACATGGCTATGATGTAACTGGGGAAGCTGGGGAATATGGACCAAGGGAACTGAACACTCTGAAACCAGTTTTGCAAAGGAAGTGGTGATCTGCTGACTGGTGTTTTTGAACAGCTACATTCAACTTGGGGCTAAACCTTGGGATTTTTCTTAGTGAGAGTCACTTGTTCTCAATCATATCCTTCATGATTAAGTCTTGCAAAACACAGCCATAAACACAAGCAGAAGTATGCACTGGCTCCGTCACACCAAATACAACAAATTAAGATTTCACTTACAAATCACCATCCTGTGTACATACAGGGATATTTCAGAAAGGAAGTACCAACCTAATCCTACTCAGATAAAACCATCTAAATGAACAGTGCTTTATGTTATACAAGCTGAAATACTGAAGAAAAAAATGTTGCCATTTTATTTGACATGCCCTGTACTGTATTCATTTCTAAAAGCTGTTTTCCACCAACATCAAAAATGTACATACACCTATAAAATCACACCAATTGTCATAAGCAGTATTTCCTAGCAGCCCCTTCTCTTCAATGGAGCCTGGTTTTCAAGCTGATGGGATCAGACAGAACAGATGTTCAATGAAATAGGCTTAAGAATGGCAATTTTGTTCCTGTTTGCAATCAAAATACTTACTTGGTTGTTGGATTCTGAAATTGCATGATTTGTGGGGAGAATTACTACGAGCAAGGCATCCCACACCCCACTCTCAGCAGTGACAGAGCAGAGATTTGTGTATCATTTGGACATGCTGGACTACAAATGCTCAATGAACTTGAGGAACAAACCCTCTTGGTGCGAAAATAACAAAAAACAAGAGACCATTTCAACCAGGAAAAGGAACTTGCCAAAAGGTTTGGTCTTCCTTGTCCTAGCCCTGATACTGTGAGGTGACTGAATTCCTTCAGAAGTTTCTGTTGACTTTCCCTGCCTGTTAGAGGACAAAATAATTCTCTGCTCCTGAACAAGTCACTTATCTGTGAGGCAATTGATCAACACAACCACAGTGGAAACTCAAAAGAAGCAGGAATTGCAACTCTGCTTTCACAGCAGTGATCAGCAGGCTGCCCTGCATGCAGCAGCTCTCCCCCCAGCTGCTGCCAGCTCCAGGACACAGCTCCCAGATGTGGCACATGAGAGAGAGCTGCTCACACTTACCCTGCTCATAGGCCTCCATCCCACTCTGGTCAAGGGTTTAAGAGCACCGAAAGGCAGAAGGTAATAGAGAATAGTCAGAGGCCAAGAACGGAGTTTCAGAGCAGGCCTAGACATACAGCTCAGCTGGCCCAACCTTCGCCTCAGGGCCAGCTGGGGGAATTGCAACCTGAAAGATTACATACACAACATCAGAGGGTCAGGCATCTCAGCTGCAGAGCCACCAGCTTCCGACAGCTGGGTCAGTTACTCCTGCTAAACGTTTCTTAATCTTTCATACTACAAGTCTTTACTCCTTTATTTTGATTGGTTCTTCCCCTTCCCAAAATAGAACAGTTTATCTAAAAAGTCCAAATAATGGTGTTCACCCTCATAGGTCACGTTTTATGAATGACACCCTCAAAAATTAAAGGTAAGACCAGTTTCCAGGTCTTAAAGCCTTCACTGAGTATCCTGGTTCTGAATAGGGAACATGTGGACAAAACCAATATTTCTACTACTGCACAACAATCTAGTCTCTGTAGCCCAATAATCAACTCCCCTCATAACCAGCTGCATCTCTGATTTTTTTTGTTACATGGATGTCCTGACTGAGAGAGACCTCATTTTGCACAAATAGTCATGGGGAGAAGTTGACCTAACTCTCACAGGGAAAAGCTGCTCAGCTTCTTAGCAGAGGACAGACATTAGGGGCCTCAGTTCAGACTCTTGCAGGAGGTCTGGATGCAAAACCCTTTGGGTCCCCATTTATTCTGTGGCTTCTACTCATGAAAAAGCCACTGGCATTTCCAAGGTCACATTATCAAATGGAAATCTGTCTACCTGAGGGCAAACTATTGAAATGACTGTCTGAACTCCTGGTTAGGAGACTGTTCTGCAAGCAGGACACAGCGACGTGCGCACGCAAACCAAAGCGGCACAGTCTGGCTGCTCCCAACAGCTCACTCTCTCAAGGGATCCTGTGACATGAAACAGGAACTACAAAATACTGCATATGTGTTTCCAAGATGGAAAGAAGCTGAGAATTTAAAAGGAAGTTTTCTTGTCAACTCATTCTTTTCAAAACTAGAATCAGAATTAAAATATCAGGCAGGTATAACTGTCACCATTTTGGGATGCAAGATGGTGCTTTTGGCTCAGAGATGTTTTTTCTGCAGTGAACACAACTTCTTTCCCCTGAAGAACTAATAAATAGAGAATGATCTGTGCATCTCAATGCAACAGGGAAAAAGAACCCTGAGCAGAAGTGCTGTCTTAGCAGAGTTAATGCAGGATTCTCAGCAGGAGGTAGGACTGACTCGCCATGGGAATAGGAAGGGACACTTCACATTCTCCCTCCCATCCCCACCACCCAGCAGGGCTGGCGGGCCAGGAGCCGGGTTGGGTCCCGTTCTCCCCCTCCTGCTGCTCTCCCCCCCTTCACTGCAGTCGCTCCTGGACCAATCCCTGCAGAGCTGCATCGCGTTGGAGCCCTCGGGCTTCTCACTGCCTTGGCCTGGTTTCAGAGCGGCCCCTCAACTAATTTTTCCATTCTCCTAGTGACAGAGAGTAGAAGGGAAAGGAATGAAAGCTTCCCCATTCCCCTTGTCATGGAACAGCATGCCCTTCTCTGCCAATACAATGTATAAGGAGCTTTATAGTAATTAGGCCAAACAAAAGCTTCACAGATGGCTCCCGCTCCTTCTGCCCAGAAACCCTCCCAGCCTCCCTCCCGCCTCAGTCACCACTCCTGCAAAGCAGAAAATACTGAACAGTACCTGAAACGAGTTCTCCTACTTGGTGTCCCACCAGCAGAGCCAGCTGGGCCTGGACTCTCCAGCTGTGGGTGCTGGTCCCCGGCACAGCTGCTGCTGCCGCCGTTCCCTGAACGCAGCCTCCGGACATGAATTTTAACTTTGCGGAGGTTGTAGCAAGAGGGTGGAGGGTTAGATAAAGCTTTGTAGCATCTCACCATTTCCCTGTGTGCAGCTCTGGTCCCTGCAGGGTGTTTGACTGACACATCGTCAGGGTGACGGCTGTTGCAAGGCTCAGTCTTTTTTCCTCTACCTCTCTTTCCTTTGCTTGCTCCGGTATAGGAGAGAGGACTCGGCGTCACAGTTCCTAAATCCCCCGCTGGTTTGGCTCTGGATTCCCTCTCTGTTTCCCACTTGAATCTCTGCTACGAGAGTTGCAGCTATTGCAAACAAACAGGCATTGTGTCATATTTCAACATCCCACTACAAAGCCGACTCTGCACACGATAAAAATGAGCTGTCCATATGAGCAGTCCTTGCTTCTTGCTAGTCCGGGTGGCCATTGAAGCCCAACTCCCCAAAAAACACCCTGCAGTGTGTCCCAGGCTGCTGGGCAGCAGTGCTCTAGTGAGAGGAGCAGCCAGCTGGCCTTGCACAGCTCATCCCAGCGCCAGCCTGAATGCAAGGCTGGGAGGAGGAGTGGGGCGGAGAAGAGGAGGAGGAGGAGGAGATAACTCCCAGCTTCAATTCTGCAGTGCAGCAGCTGCTGCTAAGAGTTCTGGACTCTTGGGCACCAAAAATCCTTTCCTGCTCTTAGTGTCCAGCTTGTAAAGAACAAAACAGAACAGAAAGGAATGTCTTTCTATTTTACAACTCTTGCCAGACACAAACATCCATCTGCGGAAATCTGCTTCCATCTAAAAACACTCAGTTAAGGGAACAGGTAATGGACATTCTTCAACAAATAACCAGATACATACAAAAAAAGGCAGTTTTAGGGCCAGCTTGATAACTGGGTATAAAAGAAGTGTTATGTGCCTATTATGTGACTTTCAGTACTGTCACAGTTTTTATGTCCAGTAGAACTAAAATACAAAACAGTAGGAAAGTGTTTGGTAGCTGGTTTGATTTTTAAAGACCAAAGGCTGCACTGTTTCTATCTAAGCATTCTAAATATACAGAGACATTTCCCACTTTAATCCTACAGAACACACCTCAAACATAGATTTTCTGAATCTCGTGTGACTGGGTTTGGATTGTTAAGGGAGTCCTGCTTGAAGAAGTGGAAGTCAGATAGCTACATCTCACCTCAAGATTAAACCAAATACTCAGAACGATTGCAGGGCTGACTCTCTCATGGTTCCATTTCACTTCTGCTTTCTGCTAAAGCTGGGTTGAAAACAAATTAAAAAAAACCCTCCTTGTTTCCAAAGCCTTCTAAGCACTGTGAAAACTCTCTGGCTGACAGAGTAGATGAAAAAGAGCACTGTTGCTCTGACTGAGGGAAAGGCTTGTATTGTAACAGGGATAATGCAGGAGGAGTGGGAGGACCAGCAGGAAAAGCTAGAATTAACTAGCAAATGGCATCCCAGTGAGGCCTCAAAAGGAAAATATTCAAGCAGTAATTGTGTATTTTGATTGGCCTTCAACTCCAAATATTACAGATACTCCCTAGACACACCTCTGGGGAGCCTGCATTAGAGTATTTTTCTCAGGTAGAAAATTTCTATATGGTATTCTGTGTGTCAGGAAGTTCCAAGACCTGTGTGCATGTTGTTCAAGCTGAATTTTAACAACTGTAAATTAAAATAGAAACCCAGCTAACTGAAAGAAGGGAAATTTAAGCTCAGTGAAAGCACTCAAAACATACTCCTTCCTCCCTGAGCTTTGTGCCAACTCTTTTTGTTTTCCTATTTAAAATATCATTTAGTCTTTCTCTGGCTGGCACAAGAAACTCCTACACAACAAAAATGATGCCATCTGTATAGTAAAACGCTGAAAGCAGCTAGCCAAAATCCTATCAAAATTCAAAGAAAAGCAACAAGGAGCACAGGGGAGCTACTTCGGGAACATCAGAAATTAGTAAATACTTAATTTTAAACAGCAACAAGCTAAATCGACAACATTGTTTCAAAAGAAACTTCATCTGACCAAGACAATTATTATTCACACTGAACACGTGTGTTCACAGAACTGTGGGGAGCAAATTAGTTTGGAGCTGGGCAGGAGCAGCAGAGCACCCAGCCCAGGAGCTCCTGCAGCCAGGGTGGAACCCTGCTCCCCATCCCTTCTCCTCCCGTGCAACCTTCACCCTTGCGGAGAGAGAGCAAACACATCACATCTACTTCAGTGTTCTTCCCTTCAGGATAAGGGAGGTAACCCACAAGCTCTTCCAGTAAAATCCAATTTTACCCCTCAAAACACTTTTAAGGAATTATTATATTCTCACTGAGTAACCATAATTCTATGGAAGCATGTACCCAGATAAACAGCTGACCTGCTCCCTAAAAAAAAACAGACACTGAAATGTTCTAAAGCCTGATGAAGGGGGTAGTACCACCTTTCAGTCCAAAACAAAAAATGTGGGGCAAGTGAGATTCCTCTCCAGGAAAGGAAAAACATGGGTGTTACAAGATTTTTTTTCTCCACCTCTTAAAAAAACTGTGTGCAGCCAAGAAAGAAGTTTCTCTGAAGTTCTGTTCTGCTCCCCTCATGACATTCACCAGGATGCCAATACCTGAGTCCTGCTGAGGTGCTGACATGCCTGCTGTGGCTGCCCCAGAAGTAACATGCAGTTCCTACAGTGTAAGAAGGCTGAAATGAAAAATCCACCCTCAATTTACCTGCTTTCCATGGGGAAAGGAACAAGAACTGCTCATCAGACAGCTCATGACAGAAGAACTCATATACTGGCATCTCAACAGCTGGACCTCTTGGGGTGCAGGCAGTGCCCGCAGCCTGTGTCAGCTTAGACAAAAATCTTTAAAATGTTTGGTTTGTAGGGGTTGCAGACCATTCCCAAACTCCCTCACCTGTTGAACTCACCCAGAATCCACTCTGGGCAAATAAAGCAGCAGTTAGCAGCAGGTATGAATCCATAGAGAATTATCTCATAGAGAACTGCTAATCTGCCAGCTATGCCACAGCTTCTACTCTGTCAGCTCAAATAAGCATCAAATCCAGTGACCTCTTTTAATTACTTGTCAAATAGTGAACTACTCAAATCCTTCTCTCAAGTTTTAAAAAGACACAGCAAGGCAGTTGCAAGAAAGACTAATGTGCAACTGAACTGCAAACCTGCAGCCTCGGTTTTAAACCGTAAGCATGAATCATTAGGCTTGGAATGTGCTGGTCAGTGCTCAAAGCCCTCTGGTCAAACTTTCTACATTTGGTCACAGAACTACTGTTTAAAAAATGCCCTGAACACATCCCAGTGCTGTACTCGAGTGCCAGCAAAAACTACTGTCTTGCACTCAGGGGCGAGGTACTGGTGTCCGTTGTTAATTCCCGTTCTTTTCCCAGCAGTCACTGTTTGATATCACAGTGATATTAATATCTCATCCCTGCTCCCACCCAACCTTCTCGGCAGGCGGCCCGGCAGGACAAACACTGGATACTCCACACCCAGGCAGGACTCCCGGACTCGGAGAACACAACAGAACCGCCCGGTGCCGCTGGAAACCTGAGCGCCGGCCGAGCGTCCGCCAGGGCCGCGGGATTGCCGGGCAGCGCCCTCGGGAGCTCTCCGGGAGTTTTCCAACGGGGCCGCTCGCGATTGACCAGCGCTGCCTAATGAAATGTATCGGGCTCGGCTGCACCTACCCGCACTGGCTGAAATGCTTTACTTCTTGATTGGAAAAGCCTTTCTATACATTTTCTCTTCGTGTATTAGGAAAAACCTTTTTATTGCTTTCCCGTAACTTTACAATGCTGTTTCAGTTACTTTGTATAAATAGAGCAGGGAGAAAAAGAAGTACTTTAGGATAGTCTAACTGGACGACTGGGTTCTGAATTCTATGCAAAAAGCCTGTTATACAGACTCAAAGATCTTCTGTGAAGCAAGGAGACAAAGCTTTATTTATTTACAAAGTGACATGAAATTTGATGGCATCCTTTTAATACCTTGTAGTAGTAATTTCCAATTAACGGTTTAGAACAACACCCCCTACTATCGTCCCATTATTTTAGTTTAAGAGATCAGTAAAGCAAACTCTCAGCTCCATAAAGGGTCTCTAAAGGAAGCAGAAGCCGCGTTACATCCTCCCCACAGAGCTGCACCCGGCGGAAACTGCGCAAAAGCCCCGGCGGCTCCTCGGCCCCCCGTCCGCCCCGCGGGACTCTGGACTCCGATAAGGCTGGTCCAGCAGACTCATTCTGCTTAAATATACTCAGAGATTACTCATGAGTCGACTTTGGAACATCACCTGAAACTTCCAGCAAGCCAGAGTGAATCACCCCTTGGCCGCCAGCCCTCGCACATCTGCCCTGCGGTCCGGTACCCTTACCTGATGCCCAGGGAAGTCTCCTTCGTCCCGGCTTTCCGCCTTCAATCGCCAAAACGACACCGACCCTTCCTTTCAAAGCAGTTTTCAGACACGTGAACAAAGCTCAGCGCACTGCGAACCCCCCACCCACGGCAGCGCAGCCATCCCGCCCCCGGGGCCCCTTCTCGGGGCAGGGGAGCGGAGGGGCCGCAGCTCCGCTCCGTCCTGTTCCTACCTCCCGCCGCCGGCAGCCGCTCCCTGCCCTGCCCCGCCCCGCTCCGCTCCGCTCCGCTCGCTCGCTCCGGGCAGCGCCGGCCCGGCCCGGCCTTAAGGAACCCCGCGGGCCCACGGCCCTGCCCCGCCCCGGCTCCAGCCACTGGCGCTGCTCGGCGGCTCCTTCCCTTGGAGGAGGGGCCAGGGCAGCACAAACGCAAAGGAAGAGAGCGGAGGGGCTCCGCAACACGGGCTGCCCACAAGGGTCAGGCACTCCTGCGGATCAGCGCTTCCCAAAGAGCGCTGGCCCGGACAACGCGGAAAGAGACTTGTCGGGGAGCAAGGCACCGATGCGGATTCTGTGCCTTGCACAGCTTCCCACCGCGTGTCCGGGTGCGGGAACACAATCCCACACAGGCACTGGCAGCCAAAGCACCAAAGCGTGCTCCAGTCTCACAAACTGCTTCCGAAAAGCTCAGCTAAAGTGCTCCACAAGCTCAGCAAGGCGCTCAGGAAGATGCACAGGAAATTGCACGAGACAGAACAGACTCATCTAGTCAAAAGTTCTTCCCACTGTTTAGATTTTAAAAAAACCCACAAACCCAAACTGATTTTATTTGGTTCCATTTGCCAAGACAACCGAGAAAAACATTTACACCATTGCAGCCTTTACACAATCTGATGCTGTTGAAATGTCACTGGTTTGAACATTTTCTGACCATCTTTCTTGTGTACTTTGAACCGCTTTACAAGAATTTTTTTGTAATTGCATAGATGCTTCAATAAAACTCCAAGCACCAGAATCTGGGAGCAAGAATGAGGAATACGAAACCAACTGGAGATTATATTTCTTCTGAAGTCGAATTAAAAAAAAAATCAGATATTCTTTCATTATTAGCTCTTTCCTGAACTTGAAACACACCTCTTACCATAATACTAAATGTCTCCTCTGGGCCAAGAAAAGCACCTTCTGTATTGTACTGCCATATGAGCTTCAGTATCCTCTGTTACATAAATAGAAGCACTTCCTGCCATCAGTAGGAAAGACTGTTGTTCTTAATTCTGAGAATCCAGTTCCTAAACCTATGCTCAAACACTTTCCTGGTGAATTAAGTTGTTTTTAAAACAACAATAAGCTGCAGTTTGAACACTGCAGCTCACTTCCAGAGACATTTACTGTGCTTTCTGGCACATGTCGCTCCAATAAACACTGCTTTTTCCTTACACAGAACAGAACAAACTACAGGATCAAAGGACACTCTCAAAGTTCCACTCTCAAAACTCTGGTTCATCTGCTCACTGTGTTCCTCCAAACCCCCCCTCTGGCCAAGCTTTCCCACAGTAATTATTGGATCCTGTATCAACAGTGCCCTGGTGCCCAGGTAAGAAGAAGCAAAGTGTCCCTACTTAGCATATGAATGGCATGCCATGCATGCAGATCCCAGCCAGGAAATGTTCTGTGACAGCAAAGATTTGGAACAATAAGCTTCCATCCATCTGATAAACATCTACCTGTCTGCCTCCAAGGCCTCTGCTTTACCTCATCTAATTAAATGAAAGCTGATCCCCACTGGTATTCACAGTAGGAGACACTAAGGCGTTAATCAGCTCAAGCTATTAGTGACAGAATGTCTCTAAGAAAATGACACAAAGAAAAGGTCTGTGCTAAAGAAACAGTAGTTCTGTCTTTCCCTGTGGAGAAACTTAAGGGACACTTGACTTGCACCAGATTAATTTCTGCCCCATCCTTTTATGACGCGCAAGCAAAACAAAACCACACAAGTGTACTGACTGTAATTGAGTCAAAAATGCTGCACACCTCAGTGAGGCTCCCAGCATGTACCTCTGCTACAGGGGAGCTCCCCTGCCAGCCAGCAGGGTTAATACCTTTAATATCTGTCTTCTCAGAAGCAGGGCAATGTGCCTCACACAGAGCTGGCAGGTGGAAGAGGGTCCACATTCCCCTGTGGAATCAGCACTTCAGGGCTGCAGGCTGGGCAGTGAGGGCACATGCACCAGTTCCTTGTTCTGCATTACTCTTTCAAAGCCCATTCAATCACACTTGGTCTCTCTTTGCCTATGCAAAGGCTTATTCTGCCCTAAAAACAGGACAACACCCCCCCCTTCCACACCCCTTAGCGTGAGCCCAGTGATGCAAAAACCCAAAACAATGGAAAATGATAGGTCAGCAAAAATCCCACTTCAGTCTACAATAAAAGGAACAATGCAGCTCTTATTTTTCTTGAATCCTTCATTGTTTGGAATATTTCTTGCAATGTCTGACCATAGTTTCTCTTTTTCCTCATAACTATTGAGCTTTCTTTCCCTCCCACACAATTCAAACACATCAGGAAGGACTGGGATGTCTTGTTAGTGTCTCCTACTGGGGTCTGCTGCATCTGGGGCCCTGCTTATCAGTTTGAAATTCTTTGTGTGTTTCCCCACTGTAAAAACCAAATCCTTTAAAGCTGTTTCATCAAAAGCAACACTCTTAGTCTCACCAAATAATAACAAATCAGCATATC